TAACATAACGAAGCTATGTTGGCGCAGAAGAGTAGGCCTGATGTGGCCTGTTGCCGATTCTTGAACTTTTCGTGACTTGTTCACAGAAGATCTAAAATCGTGTCATTTGACCGGATCTTTTCAAGACTGTCGATAGTTCGAAATAGCCACTAGACTTCCACCGGTTTCGATATGGTGATAGGCATTTCGAGTCTGAACATATATTTTTCCATAGCTTTATCTAGTCTGTTGTTAAATGTTCTTGAGTTGGATTGTATGCGCTAAGAGATATCTTTTGTCGCACCTGGAGCATCTAAAGACGCCGTAAGACGAGATCCGTCCTCCATGAGGCAAGTGCGAAGAAAATTCTAAATTATTACATACTTTGAATGAATGGTTATAGTTCCGTGGGGAATAAGGCATACATGCATTGTTTTTGTTCCGTAAATTACTCCCCACATCAAGCGTCGTAAATCAAGACAGCCGCGAAGCTCTTACGAAGTTTTGATGAAGACGACCGCCTGTTTGTTGCTGATCTCCCTTCATGTCGCTAAAAACTCAACAGTCTACAACGCGAAAGTCAGCAGCTACCAACCACGAACAGCAGCAGCTACCAACCACGTGCACGACAAACTCCAACTCAACACCCAACGACGGTCAAGGTTTACTGTTTAGCAGGAGTCGGTGAAGATTCAATTAGGTATGAGTTTTCCAGTGCATAGAAATAAAACTTTCCTCTCAGCATATGAATTGAGAGAAAACTCAATTACCAGTGAAGTATTACTATCAGCGTGCCCTGTAATAGGATGAATATATTCAGGAACAGGGCGCTGACGCACTAAAATACAAGGTGAAAAAGCGTGCTGAAAACGGTGCAAAACTAGTGCCGACATACCCAAAAAAAAAAAAATGTGTGAAATAACGTTGCTGGTGATTCTATTACTATTATTATTACTTCTATTTTTTTACAGATATTTTTTTAGCTATTACTTTTGCTATTTCATTCTTTATGCATATATTTCTGCAATGTAGTGTGGTTACCATGTGGTATTTTTTTGCACTCGCATGAAAATTGACCGCTAACGGGTTGTTGCACCTCAAGGTTTTCCTCGAAACTGTTTTTGGTTTTGAAAATCCCAAGTTTTACCAGCAGAACTATATTGTAATTGGAATTTTGCGCAGTAGTATAATCTGATATCAAGGAAAGAATTGAAATCACGACAAAATTCTCACCATTCCACAAAAAAAATAAATGCATCTCTTGTCTGGAGCCTATGACAGTTACCGTTGGCATTGAATAAAAAGCTTTAGTTGCTCATCTGTTTTGCTGCTCGTGCACTGTCATCACGCGCAACACGAAATATTGAGTTACTTCCCAAAGATTTTGGACAATAATTAATATAATGAAAACGTCGCCCTAGTAGAAAAGTGTACATTCGAATAGACAATAAAATTAGATAATTAGATAATAAAATAATAAAATGCATTCAATTAGACAATAAAAAATGCATAACGAAAAACGAGACCTCAGTAGAGAGATGGTTTGATATGTTCTCTGTGCTGAGGTCTGGTAAAGCCATCTCAGCGACGGCGCTGAGGCGTCTGCTCCCGCCCCAGCGTTTTTTTTTTTTTTTTTTTTGCGGTGCCACTAGGAAAGAGTGGAAGAGAACAAGAGGTGGCAAATAGTGGCAAGAAAGAGTAGAGAGAAATGGAAAAGAGACCCGCCGTCTTAACGTGTACTCATATATTTTGAGTACATTAATGTACTTCTCATCGTATCGGCCATCGTTTTGTGTACGGCGCATTGATATTGTCAACTTATTGTGTGTATGTGAAATGTGGTCATCGTATTGTGTGTGGCTCTGTGATGAGGTCATCGTATTGTGTGGTGCTCTGTGGTGTGGTCATCGTATTGTGTGGTGCTCTGTGATGTGGTCATCGTATTGTGTGGTGCTCTGTGATGTGGTCATCGTATTGTGTGGTGCTCTGTGNATAAGAGACAGACTCTGTGATGTGGTCATCGTATTGTGTGGTGCTCTGTGATGTGGTCATCGTATTGTGTATGACTCTGTGATGTGGTCATCGTATTGTGTGGTGCTCTGTGATGTGGTCATCGTATTGTGTATCCATTTCTATTTCATGGCCTAGTACTAGAGAAGAACATTATACCACAGCGTGTTTTTAACAATCAGATTACTCTATTCCTTTTACCAATCAATGTTTAACATTAAAGATATGATTGGAAATATTCTGCAACTTGCCGTGCGAAACCAACTAACGAATTTTTTTTCTAATATTCTCTTCCCTTGGAATATGTGCGATAGGCAGAGAGGTAAATTTTCTGAACTTTATGACTAAATAAGATCAGACTTCAGAGATGTTATCTGTAACGATTGCCAAAGAATTTTCGGACCTGTTGATACTATTTAAGCGTAGCATTAAGTATGATCATCAAGTTTAGTTTCAATTATAGCTTGCGGTAAAAATTACCAAGGAAACGAATTTACAGGATATATAATACTGGAAAAAACCCGATATAATCTATTTTAAACGTAATAATTTTTAAAAAATTATTCAATTTCTATGTTTTCATGTTTTTTTGTACAAGATAGACCACACCTTAATATGTGGCACAGCAACAACGCTGCTCCTTCATCACGTTCGCGGGATGTGGGCGAAAATAATGTTCTATTGCATTAAACAATAAAATAATCTCTTTTTACAGGCATTGTGAGATTAGAGGTTCGCGGTTAAAAACAACAATAGCCTAAGAAAATTACTAACTTACGCAGAGTATCTATTCAAGATTAAACTCGGTACTTAGATTTAGATTTGACATAGATTTTTGACCACGAGAATCTGGCTGTATGTCTGTGTGTAGTTAGGGCAGCATGAACAGAGGAGTGCTTGTTTACAGTGGGGCCAGGAGGGCGGCAGCGTCTGGGGGTAATGCTAGCCTGAGTTACCCTGACTCGCCCTCTGTGACGCTTGTAGTATCGACTGCATTTGCTTCTTTCTTATCTTATCTCTCACATTCAAATTCAATTATGATCATATGTTGCATTTTGTTTGCTTGAACAGCTATCATACTGAGCGTTTGGCAGAAACACATTGAATATATTTCCTAACTGGAAATTATGTGATCTGTTAGAAGTGTTCTGACAAACACCTTACCCTATAGTTAGTTGACTTCAACTTACTGGCGTTTTAAAACTAATTGCTGTGTTCAGCAACCGATGTTGCAACAATTGACTGTGGCACTATCCTAATGGAGCTGAATTCGGCGACAATATCGAACTATTACTTTCATAATTCCAATTTCCTAGAATAAACTGATTAAGAATTAGAACGAAACTGCCGGCGTTTGTAAACCAACGACGATGACGGGAAGTCGTGGGAGGAGAATGGCACTTAGGGTATCATTTTCAGGCATATTACCCTAAGTCGTCGCCTCGGTTCTCACGGAATCCTTTGAGCAGACAAGCTTTGGGCCACTCTGACCGCCTCAGTTGCCCTACAGCGGTTGTAGTGAGGGGTCACGAAAATTCGTTTTTATGTTCTGTCTTTATCTTTCTGTACCTACTATCAATCACTTTAATATCTATAATCATTTATATTTCCCGTTTTTAGAGTACCATTTTCCGGTTAAGCTCGTAGATTGATTTCATCCTGCGCTCTTTGAACCGCTCTCGCTTGAAGTTTTGGATTTTTACTATCTTCGACATCATATATTAATAATATAATATGATATATCAGTCGCCTCTATCATCTATGTCTATTGTTACTGTAGCGTGTAGCCTAATTTGATCATGCAAGAGCCGTTTCGAGTATTAAGTCAAAACTGGTGATTAATTAGATCAATATTGTAAAAATAGTCTTTAACCCTCTACCGCCGTATGTCACTCTCTGAAACATAACTTTCAACGTAAATTATACGTAAACTATTGAGTGTAGCAACTTGCAACCTGAGGACGTTTGTACGCAACAGAGAATATTTCAGAGTTGTCGTACGTGGCGGCAACCATCAGTGCAAGTCATTTTGCGCTCACTAGAACCTATCCTTTTTAGGAAGTAGGCTTGTGACAATATTGCTCCGGTTACTCATGTCAGGCGATAGAGGGTTAAATGCTCTGGGAGTGGTACCGTATTCCATGTCAGTTTTTCTGCATAGCGAGTAGTCTTATTCCGTTCATTACTTGTGCAGCAGTGTTAGCGTGCGTTTCGAACCGTGATCTGACGTTATTTGTTCTTCCTGTGTGATCCCTCGAGAGTACGCTAAGTTATGAACACGATTAAGTTACAAGTGAAATACAAGTCTAACCACGCGTGCCTCTCACTTTTGTTAGGGAGTACGTAAAGCCAGGAAAAATCATGGGTATCACAATCGTCACTCGACTGACTCTGGTGATTGGCTTGATTTCTCTAGCTTCCCCTGAAATCATAAGAAACCTAACCCGCAAGGAGGTTGAAGCCCCGGTCGCCATTGAAGATGTGTTCGATAACCTAATAGTTGAAGAAGCACATGGCATGCCGGCTGTGATCGTGGATGTGAATGACATCCTACAAATCGCCGAAACCGCCGACGTGCCAACCATAAGTGAACGCGAGACGGACGCCAACCCGAGCATAATCGCGTCTGTCCTAAACGAAGGAGAATCTTACACGGATGAACCCCTCACCCTGAACACCTCTTCTATACTCGACGACAAGGCAAACGAGGAGGACCACAGTCGCACGTATGACAAGCTCTACCAGCAGGGCGTTGACCACTACCTCAGCAATGACTGGCATCAGTGTGTGGGGTACTTGGAGCTCGCCATCAAGGACTATACCTGGTACACCAACACGCTTAAGAGGTACGCATTACACTGGTGATCTTAACGTTCTCCATTTAAATGTCGCAACATATTTCGTCGCGAATAATTTTTTTAAGTGTTCAATTCTGATTAATTAATTATTGAAGTCGTAACTTGCGTTTTTGAATCGAAAAATGTCTTTTTTCCGGCTTCCACCTACTATAATTAATATATACCTGTCATGTCGCAAATTATATTTGTCCTGTCGTGTGCTTGGGCACTTGGCCCACTAATCCATTCTTTCCGGAGCTGGCTTATTAACTTTTCTTTGGGAAGCCACATAGTAGGAAATTAAGTGAGCTGCTGACAGTCTTTCTCTAACCATTAACTGCAGTAATCGATGAATTGATCCAATGAAAATTTTTAACGTATCATAATTTTATTTTGTGATCGACCAGATGTCATAAATTTGGAAATTGCGCTGTGAGAAAACAGGAACTGTCACCGGATGTAACTGTTAGCTATAGAGTTGGCGAGGGCGAAAGACCCAAAGTCAGGGATACTGATATCGTGATGCTAGAACACTTATGCTAGTACACTGATGCTAGCATCGTGATGGTAGTATCCTGATGCTGATATCGTGATGCTAGAACACTGATGCTAGCATCGTGATGGTAGTATCCTGATGCTAATATCGTGATGCTATCCAATTGTGACGATGCTGGTTGATTACCATTAGTTTTCGTTATTGTTCACATTGATGATTTTGATCTGCGATGACAGATTTTTTGTTGGTTTGACCGGCTGTTGAAACATTTTTTGTTGTTAGTATGTATTAAAGGCACTTTTTCCTTCATATTTTGACACTTCCTTCGTTGACGACTCAAACCTGACATTGATTGAATTATTATTATCATTCACATAACTTTGATGCATGTTTCAATTTCTTTTTAAATACCTGTTAAATTATTTTATTAGCCTCTTTTGCACGCGTCAAAGAATTATTAACTCTAAACAGTATGAACGATTTTTTCTGTATCGACACGTGTTTACAAATTTCCCTACATCTATTGATATTATTGCTGATGGCTGCTGACGTTATTGAGATTGAATCATCATTTATAATTTGTGTGAAGTTTTGCGTGAAAATAATGAACGTTTTTTTTCGACATTGCAGCTGCCGTCGCGATTGCCGTGCAGAGGCCCAGGGGGCGACGCCCCTGGCGCAACCCCGCAGCGTCGAACAGGTGCGCGATCCTGCCATTTCTCTAATAGTCAGAGGCTCTCTGACTATTAAACTTGGTTACCAAATTTAATAGACGACATTACAATTTTATGTTACCGAATTAAATATGATACAATAAACATGTTACACAATAACCGCTATGAAAATGAACGTCTCGAAAACTAATGTAAATATCATTAACGGTAAACTGTAATTTCCTTGTATACAAAACATGCCTAGGACTTTTCGGAATATTTCAGAAATTAATGAAAAAATATATTTTCACGCAGGAGTTCTACGAGACGACGATCAGGAACGCGCTGTGCCTCCTGAAATGTCGCCAGAAGCACTTCTTGTCCCGTCACCACCACGTTGCTCCTGCCAGCGTTGACAGGGAGTTTATATCACGCAAGCCTTACGACTACCTGCAGCTCTGCCTCTTTAAGGTGACTACCTGCAGCTCTGCCTCTTTAAGGTGACTACCTGCAGCTCTGTCTCTTTAAGGTGACTACCTGCAGCTCTGCCTCTTTAAGGTGACTACCTGCAGCTCTGCCTCTTTAAGGTGACTACCTGCAGCTCTGTCTCTTTAAGGTGACTACCTGCAGCTCTGTCTCTTTAAGGTGACTACCTGCAGCTCTGTCTCTTTAATTAACACGTTGAATGCGTTATCTCCATGTGTTGAGGTAATGTTTTTTCTCTGACCCGTGCCATTTTTATTATCAAGGTTTGGTGCCATTACGTAAGAAATTAGTTATCCTTACTTAGCAACGCAGTTCACTACTGTGCCGCAGTTATCTTAACTTGGCAACTCAGTTCACTACTGCACCGCAGTTATCCTTACTTAGCAACTCGGTTCATTACTGCACTGCAGTTATTCCTACTTAGCAACGCATTTGACTACTGCGCCGCAGTTAGCCTCACTTAGCAACGCAGTTCACTACTGCGCCGCAGTTAGCCTTACTTAGCAACGCAGTTCATTACTGCGCCGCAGTTATCCTAACTTGGCAACACACTTCACTACTGCGCCCCAGCTATCATTACTTAGCAACGCAGTTCACTACTGCGCCGCAGTTATCCTTACTTAGCAACACAGTTTATTTATGTGCCGTACTTTACAGTTGGGCAGGTTCCAGGATGCCGCCAACGCTGCAGTAACTGTGCTCGCGGCACAGCCCACGCACACCGTCATGTCCAACAACCTCAAGCAATATATTGAGCAGTACTCCGCCGACCAGGACGAGCTCGATAACCTCGAGCTTCAGGCAAGTAAATTTACACGGACACACCTTTAAGCAGCTATATAATCATTTTTACTAATTAATGGCAAATTCTTGATTAAATTAAAAGGAGTAACGGATCTGAATTATAAACTAGCTATATTTTTCGGTGATTGTGCACGGGGAAAGATCGGTCGATAGTATGAGAGGCTATTACCCGATGATAATTTTCGGACTAACTTATTCTTCAATGGAATGTAGCAAGGAGCGGGCGCTTGAAGTGGAAAAATTTTGAGTTAAGTGCGACAGCACGCGACTAGCAGGGCTGGATCAACTGTGGTGCGTGAAGGTATGTTCCGTTCGGCAAGTTTGCCGCTGATGCTCCCTAGCAATCTTTCAGTCCTACACAGTTTTTTTGCTTCCAGCCCATGTTAGTTAAGTGATGAAGTTTTTTGCCTAAACTGATGGGAAAAGTTGAGTTAGGTGTCAGGAGAATGCCGTGGCTATACGAGCTATAACTCATAATGAACACATCCCGTGTCAGGAGAATGCCGTGGCTATACGAGCTATAACTCATAATGAACACATCCCGTGTCAGGAGTATGCCGTGGAGTACGTGCGTGGAGACCAGGCTCACTCTGCAGAGGACTACGCGAGGGCGGTGGAGCACATGGAGGCGGCGCTGACGCTGTACTGGCGCGCCCTGGAGGACTGCCGTCTCATGTGCGAGGAGCCTTTCGACCAGGGCTGGTTCCCCGACTTTGTTTCTTCAGTTGCCAGTGAGACCACCAGTCGTGATTTATTTAATCCATATATAATTGTTCAAACTCTAAGAATTTAAAAACAAATAAAACCACAAGTAAGTACCCCATTGCATCAAATTCTTGGTGATGGCAATTAAAAAAATCAACCTAAATTCATACGATTTAAGCAGGCTATTGATTTATGTAATCAAACTTTATCCTGGTTGTGTACTATCTATGATATTTACGCAGATACATTAGTAATGACGCTTACTCTATTTAATATCCATATGCGCGATGTATTAGTGAACGCATACGATCTATCCATAGGTGCGTACCATGTATTTCTTTAAGGAAAGACGGAACATTCATCATCGGTATAATGTTAAAGCTGAATAAAAAATATTGCCGTCTACTGAAGTCATCCCCAGGTGAACAAGAAATGTAGACGCGATATGGATTTAATGTTATTCACCACAAAACTTACAATTTTCAGATCACTACACCTTCACCTTCCGCTGCAAGAGGAAGTGTGGCCTGCAGCTCTCCAACCTTTACGGCGAGGACATACAAGACTTCCTTCCCTCCATCCTCAACTACCTGCAGTACGGCTACCAGAAACGTTAGTACTCGAAGGCTGCAGTACCGCTACGGTTATTATTGAAAAAATATACATCGTCTGTGCTTATCCGCAATATTTGAGTTTATTATTATTTTATTGTTTTGTCACGCAGTTAATGAGATCCCGAAGGCGTGCGCTGCCGTGGAGAGCTACTTGGAACTGCTCCCTGCTGACGCCACGATGCTGCGTAACAAGCAGTACTACCTCGCTAACTATCAGAAGATAGACAAGTTCTTCGTCGTCAGGAAGGTTAGTAGGTTAGGTTACGCTAGAAAGGTTAGTTGGTTACGCAGTTTAGGTTAGACTAGAGGGTAAATATTTTCTTCATTTTAACCAAAATGAAGTAAACATTTTCTTCAGTCGTAACCAAACAGTGCCGCCAAATTTTTTGGGTTCGAACTTGACTTGTCCTGACTAATACGTAATATTTTTTATATGCATTCCATGCTCTACGAGGAACAGCACTTGGGGAAATTTTTGCTGTTGGTTCAGCTGGATGCCATCTCTCTTTTTTGAACACTAACTGACAGCTCAAAAGTTGCTTGTGATGTGCAGGAGGTAGCGGAGCATGCAGCCAGGGAGCGTTACGAGGAGCGCCTGCTAAACTTCATCGACACGGAGTTCGTCTTCTTGGAGGAAGACCCGTCCGTCATGGTGAGACTTCGTTTCTTAGACTCCATACTCTATTTCTATATAGGTATTCTATTCTATATTCTATTACCTAAACTCTTAACTCGACTCTCAAAATACCATACTTAATTTATTCTTACGAATCCATAATTCGATTCATAAAACTCTATATTTATTCTATTTCCTAAACTCTTTCCTCGACTCCTAAAATACCATACTGAATCTATTCATATAACTGCATATATTCGATTCCTAAAATTCTATATTTATTCTATTCCCTAAACTATTCAAATTAAATAAAATTGTCCCTAAATCCAATGCCGTGTGCATCTTGTTTGGAAGCGATTTCATGATATGTCGTAGATGGGATCCTATTGAAGCTCTAAGATAAGATTAAAATTTTGTGCATTCCGACAACTTCACAAGAATTAATCTGATAACTTAGGGTTCAAATTGAATGCTCACATGGACCAAGCTCTGCACTAACATAAAACATTGTTTGTATGTTTCGCGAGTTGAAAAGTTACTGGATGGGGAAGAAGGGAGGTGACGTGGAGGTGGCTCAGTGATTACTGAATATTTTCATTATTTTTTACTGCAAGTTTGATACATTAATTTCATTTCATGTGATATTGATTGAATGAGATTGGTTCACGCTACTTCCCGGCGGCAGGCCAGTTTTCCCCTGCCAAGTTTTATTCACAGTGAATGTGATAAATTTCAGTATGAAACAATGATTGAAATACTCAAGGATTGAATTAATAATAGTTTTCCTTTATCATTAATTGTGTTGATAAGATTATGTATTGTATTCACCTAGAGCATAATATGGTTCTGTTCTACTCACCTAGAGCGTAATCTGCTTAGTTCTTTGTCCTATATTGCAAGTTCAAATTCGGCAGACTTACGCAACTACGGGGCCGCGTGTAACTAGTCGACGTTTTTAATGCAGGAGAGGTGATAAGTAAGGAGAGGTTCCGTGTTACAAGCAGACTTAATGCCTTGCCGGTCCTTTGAATTGGAGCGTCATAAGCTTGCCAAACATAGAATAAAAAATTATTGAAATGTCTATAATAAATATTAGATATCTAAAAACTGAGCCCCTCCGCTGACCTTCCCTCCCCTCCCCCAGGATCCAGAGAGCGCAAAGACCGCGCGCTCAGCGTCTATCAAGAACACCCTCGCCTCCCTGCTGTCCTCGGTGTTCAGTGGCTCCCCTGGGGGCAAGGGGGAGCTCTGAAGATTAGAGTCTTAGCCACAGCATAAGTCTATGAGGCCAAACCTCAGGATTGCCAAGTCTTGGCCATCCCAACCTTGGAATGGAACACTTATGAGAAACTGGGATTGTTAGGCGAGCATTAGGACGGGGACGTAATTGGACTACACGGCAGTGCCACGCAACACAAGCACACGCTCTGCACGGCAGTGCCAACATTTCATAACAAATTCGCTAAATATTATATATTATTCATGGTACTGAGTGTGTTTTCGAGCACGAAACTTTCAAAATCGATGCAAAACAAGAATATATATTTAGATCCGATATATGATTGTGCTTTTTCGTGTTTAACGAAAACTTGGCCCACTAGTAGTCCTCACTTGCCTGTTCTGAGGGACACACATTTACGAGTGTGGAGAACTCCTAACACCGAAGACTTCAATTAACTATTTTCTCCATTTTTAAATGTTTGGGAGTTGCATTTTAATTGGAACCATTATTTTTCGTTCATTAATATATTTTTTCAGATCATTATGCCGATATCGTTTGATCTCAAAACCGGTTTTCCCATTAGCAATAATAATACTATAATAATAAGATAATTACATAATATATATGTAATTATCTTATTATTACATATATATTATGTAATATATACATAATATATTATTATATATAATAATAAGATAATTGCATACCTGATATTCACAGCTTTTACTGTGCCTCAAATTTTAAATTTTCATCGCGACAAGATGCTGTGTAATCGCACAAAAATGCCAGTCTAAACATTGATAGGCAATTTACACTCTAATGTGTCAAATCATTCGTGGTATTGACGTAAATGACAGAATCGAGCGTGACTTATAAAGAGTTTGCTTCACGTTCATCACGCATACAACACTCCGGTGCCGCATGCGTTACAACGGATCTTTCGCTCGAATGTTTTCTCTTTTACTCAACGAAGAATGACTTATTTTATCTGTGTGTCAAGTAGTTAATGCAAGATGAAATGTTCGTACGAAAAAATTGAAAATGTTGTTTTTGTTTCTTATTAAGCCGTCGAAAACTAATGTTCCAAAGCTCTCGGTATCGAAAATGTTTAAATGGCGTCGAGTAAATAGCAACAATTCAGTAAGAAATTGAGCCCAACGTTAAGGGCTCCATTCACACCACATCTGTTCATTTTATGATTATGTTTACGTAAATATTAAGTACAACAGCAAGGCCAGTCCAACACACTTCTTCCAGCCAGTCAAGATTTGTCTTCTCATAAAACATGTCACGTCGCTGCTGTGCTCGCGTTATATTATTAAGGGAATAAACTGTCCCCCGTTGTGAAATGTTTCGTTTTCCTGAAATTCTACCAGTTGTGTCAAGAGAATGGTCTTGACAGCCAGCTGTTCAATAATTAGAAAGAAAAAGCTATTTGATGATTGGACTTGAACTCATTCCATCAAATGCGTAATGATGAAAATTGTTTTAGCTAATGATAATTAGTTTAAAAAATGCCTATACCGTTAATTATTTATTGCTGATAAATTAATTTTTTGTAGTTTTAATTTGTCAAATATCTCGCTTGCTCTCCTCTTTATTTTTCTAGGTAAGAAAGGTAAGTATCTTCATGCGAACGTCTGAAGCATCTCTCTTTTAATCACTAATCAGGCCAGACCTGAAAACTTGTAATTTATTTGTTTATACCGCATCAGATGAAAGAGCTGGCAATTGAAGACGAGGGAGACGAAGATGGCGCTTTTGCTGTGCGAGATTCGTCAGTCCCAGTTCATGAAGATCCGCAGGTTGAAGAACCCAAAACCATCGCCACACAAGAACCTGTCGGAAACGGTGCAGAGACTGACGCCACGGCCACGACATCGTTTGTGGCCGCTGATAAGTTCTCAGTTAAGGAGAGTTCTGGGGCTGCGGTAGTTGATATACATGACGAAGCTAGACGAAGTCCTTCTTTAGTTACTTCGAGTCTTCGCAGCCGAGGCGACGCCGGTGACATTGAAGGTGAATTGGGAGTTAAAGGACGAATATTTGAATTACACTGTGAGAAGGCAGCCTCATTTTTAATAAGTAATTTTTTATAGATTAAGTGACACAAATTCCCTTCTCCAACTCAAACTCCAAAAATTATATAAATTGTTATTTAATTATTTTCAAAACTTAATTTTAGCGCTGAAACAGCCCCTATAAACAGTGAGCATACATGAATCAATTGACAACAGAGGAGCTTACTTGAAAGAAACAATTATTAACTTTAAATTAACAGACTCAATTATAACCCGAAGTGATAAGTTCAATCTTGTCTCCGCCAGCCTCTGAGGGTAGAATGTTGAGGGACAAGCAACCAACCGCCGCAGTGACGCTGGGGCCCGCGGCGCTGAACGGCTCCCGTCGCTACGTCGTCGACGGCCTCATCTCAGACATCAAGTGCAAAATCCTGAGCGCTCTTGTGCATGTCAGTAACTAGCTCGCTTATGTTCTTCCTTCATTACTAGTTTTTAATATTATTTTCTGTAATAATTGCCCCATTTATTCATACTTTATTCCAAGCACATCATTTTACTTCAGCTGCTGAATTTACTATACGCTCTGAGTGACTTGCTATCTTCAAGCTATGTATTACTTTCAAACTGTGCCAGTCGAAGACGATCATTATGCAGTCGTAAGAAGTATTCTGGATAAGTGTATGTATTATTTTCAAACTGCGCACGCCGACGACGATCATTAAGCTATCATAAGAATTAATGCGGTTTAGTACGGCTACGTTATGCGCAGGTTGCTGGGGAGCGCGGGGACGGCTACCACCGCAACGTCAACCCACACACTGAGGCCGAGGAATTCTTTGGCCTCACGCTCAGTCGTACAGGCCTGGTGAGGCTACCCATGAGGCTACCGCCCATGCGGGCTGCGGCTATTTTTCCTTGAAAATTGTAATTTCTAACTTTGGCTTGTGCTTCTTCTTCAAAATTAACTTATTTTGAGCACGCTAAATATTACTAGATGGTTGAATAATAATTTAATGTAAATTTTAAACTAAATGTACGGGATTGCGTTCATCTAGATGCTGTATAATAATCTAATGTAATGAATTCAGACCTGATTATGTCGTGTTGGCAAGTCGATTCCTCATCACGACATCACCCGCACTCCTCGCTGATTTCGACCAGAATGTTCGCACTATTTGCAAGTTTTGAACCACCAAGTCACTGCTCAAATCTCTGTAATCTTCGTCACTCGGCTTTCGCGACCCAGAATTCGTCCAGGAAGTTTCTTTCAATTCAAAACAGTCGTGTGGTCACTGATACACCCTTTTTCCGGGCCAAACCATGTCTAGTTGACCCACAGAAGGACAAAATATGTACCGCTCTTTATGCTAAGTATCACATTTATTTCAGTGCAAAAAACTGTCCTATTTTGACGCGGTTGGTAACTACGCAGATGGTGCACGCCGGTCTGCTCGAGGCTGACATGTTGCGACTGGTGTTGCGCGTCACAAGCGTCGCTAAGCAAAACATCGAGCAACACTTTGAACTGCAACGTCCACTCTACTTCTCCTTCACTCACCTCGTCTGTAGGACTGCAAAACCGGGTCCGTACTTACAACACATCAATGGAGTTCCTGGTACTTCACTTGAGCTCCAGAATTTTCTCCGTTAAAAGATTGCTCGATAATATATGAAATGCTGTATTGTAGTTGATACGGTGATCATGTTGGAGTGTTTCCTTTAATTCGTTTAGCTTACTAGTAAGTAAGCTTACTAGTAAGTAAGCTACGCACATAACTACATTCGTGTCTGTACTGTAACTATTAATGTGTTCAAATTTGATCACTTGATTATATTTGTGTAATAATGACAAAAATAAAGATTCGAGATTTGACAGAATATTTTTCGCGGAAATTCTGTCAGAATAGAGCTAATTTTCTGTTGCTTTGCAGTGCCGATTTTTATTTTCTTCTTCTTTATTGGGGAGCGTTTGAGCACTGCGCAGCGCATTACATTAAAACTGTTCTCTTCGTGAACTAAGTGTGAAAAAATTATCAAAATATGGTGTCAATTGAATGCTTTTCACCGAGTGATTTATTCTGAGAACTTTTTATTTTTCTATTAATGGTGTTTAAGTAGAATATTACGACACCCGCCCGCCCGGAGACCTCAGCCACGTGGTGCACGTAGACAACTGCATCCTGTACGGCCCAGGCGAATGCCTGCAGCGCCCTCCTGCCTACACCTTCCGCGACTACAGCGCCATCTTGTACCTCAACGACGACTTCGAGGTCTGGCCTCATCATTTGATGGTTCCTACTTCCGATTTATTATTTTTTTTACAATGTTAAACTTAGTTTTTGATTGGAAATCGCGCAATGCACCGGCTACAAAATACTTAAAACAAGGCTACTCGTACTGAACTAATGAATTCTTACGAAAACATTTATTATGAATTCGATCATGTTGTACCTAATGCCTGGCTGATGAAATTCAATATGTAGCTCATGCAAGAATATGCCATTGTTAAACATTCAATCTTATTACTTTAATCACTTTTTGACAGGGCGGAGAATTCGTCTTTACAGACGACCCACAGGCAAAGGCTGTCCAAAGTTCAGTAACACCCAAATGCGGACGCATGGTTGCGTTTTCCGCTGGTCCGGAAAACCCTCACGGCGTGAAGGCAGTTCGACGAGGTAGTCGCTGCGCGCTTGCGCTGTGGTTTACGCACGACGCTAAGCATCGCGACAAGGATAGAATTTTAGCCGAGACTCTGCTCAATAAGATAAAATTGGGAGAAATTAAGGTCAAGTAGAGTTGGCACACGTGAATCCGCTTATGAATATGATTTACTTGTCAATTGTACGTTCCATTAAGTAAATTGATGGTAGGTGTTCCCTTGAGTTTGACGTATTTATCATAAGCTCCTATTTGTGCCGTACACCAACATTTCATTTCAATTAAATTTTCAATATTTTGTAGGCATCAGTCGCTATGACGACGATGATATGATGTATCATGTAGGTAGAATCACGCATGCGGGAATTCGTATCTCTTTTTGGAGCAGTTTATAATGTCTCGGACAAATTTACGGCCAGTCGTTCAAATCTGTACAGTAGTTCGGAATAAATGTTATGTTCACTGCGAATTTCGGCACGTATCGCCATATAAATCACGAATTAAAGTGAAATTCCAAAAATTTTAACGAGCTAAACATCTCCGTTAGTTTCTAATGAACACGTGGACTAAGTTTCGTCGAGCTACGTTCATTAGTTTGGGAGTTATTATTTGCTCACTGAATTGGGAGATTTGCCGCGAGACCCGCCGCAAGTGCGGCCGTAAATTTGTCCGAGACGTTAGTTTATGAGTATTTTACTGAAAGGTTTCACTGCTTCAATGGTCCACAGCGTTTTACGATTTTCTCCATTTACAATCTGCGACGTTTTACAGCGTTCTACTACTTCATCCAGCCACAGCCTTTTAACAGTTCAACAGACCACTGTGAACACGATTTATTAACGAACTCATTTTTCCACCACAATAAGGCATGTATATAGGTAGATTTCTGATCCTAAAACCGGCGATCTAGATGCCTATTAAAATTAAGCAAATGGAGAAAATTACCCAGTAACATCTTGAAATAACCATGTTCTTGCTTCAACTTTCATATATATGGATCGCCAATATATGCACCAAAATGTAGGATACCTTGCAAAATTGACGTCGACAGCAGTGCCTGCTAATAATAAATAATAATAAATAAATAATAATTAAATATAATAATTAATAATTATTTAATGATTTATAAGAATCGAAAACCAAAAATTTATACAATGTCTAGACGCCATTCTATTGAAAACCGAGAGTTTAGAAAAATTATATCGAATTTCTTGCATAACAAGAAGTTTCCTACTCGGAACTACCATTTTACTTTATGATTTATGATTAAACAGAAGTGATTCAATTATATATAGTGGTAACAAAGGTTGTTTTCAAAATGGAAATATGTGAGCGCTTTGTTGAATGGAAGCGATGGAGGAATAGGAAAGATCCGTGCAAGCTCTGATGGCAAATCATAATTTGTTTTATTGGAAAAATGCAATGCAAAATTTCGCTTATTGGCGGGATAATGCTGGCCAGGCTAATGATGCAAACAACATGTCACATCAGATCGAGACGCTATGAACTCATGAAGTCGCAAAAAAAAATTGATCGTATCCTTTTTCCTGATAACTTTATTTACCGAACCTAATTATATTAACCGGTTTGCTAAAGCTATCAATACATTGTAACGTTAATCTCAATTTGTTCATAAACGTAAGGCAGTCAAGATGACTGCCATATCCCGAGTTTGAAGTTAAATTGAAGACTCTTACTTTTTCCGCCTTAAGTGCGATGCATTACATTCGCATTTTATTTTATATAATGGAGATTGTGTGCGCTCTGTTTTATGTATAACGAGTATCATATACTCGAATTATAGAGTTGAAAACTTATATTTTTCTCGGCAAGGACTGGACACAATGGGACAATACTTTAGCAGCATCCAGTGGGTTTACTAGAAATAGGTCTCGTACGTATGACCAATTTAAAGTGTTGTTATAGTAATCCAGTCAGTAAAAATAGATTTATTTTGCTTTCTATGGATTACTGTAGTAGGTACATTTTGTAGATAATCTCAACTAATCTGCATACCAACAGTTCATTCAATGTTCGCACGTAATGTATATTTATAAAAATTACAATTTTTATTATCAATCATATCTAGGATCCTAAAGCGTTGTAAATGAAAACGATTTAAAATAAGCTTAACGGATCAATAAATGAAATAAAAAGCTTCAATTCTACCTTTCTAAACATTCAAGAGTGTAATTTGTGATGCATTGGAATCCAAATAGTGTGCGAACGCGCTCAGGAAGAGCTGTCATGCATCGCATAGAAAGAGATTGCGCTTTTGTTTTATACACATCATTTACTTGGAGTTAGATTGCCGCATTATAAATTATTTCCAAATTTTGTCTTCTCGAACGCGGAGCTTCGTTGCAGGTAAGATTTTAACAACAACTATTTTGTAGTTGAAAAGCTTGCAAATAATTTGTTGTTTAAATGAATCTTTCTTTGATCTCTATCTATGTAAGGCATATGATACGATGTAATGAGAAACATAAATATTGAATGATCTTAATGAAACAAAAAAAAACAAGAATAGTTATTTCCTGACTAAAGAAACGTCATGGTCTTAGGATACATGTCTAGCGCTTGCCGCTTGGCTTTGGCGCATGTCGCTGACGCGCGAGCCCATTCCGCCACATCGGAAGAGTGAACTCTGCCGACGCATCTGCGGCAGAGTTCACTCGCTCGGCTCCCACAGTGGCTGTGAAGTCATTCGCGTTGGAGCCTAGGACTTAGGAGGTGATTAAAGGAGCGACTGGGGACTGTCACCATTAATCAGGCAGGGAATAAATCTGTATTTGGATTTTGGAGTCGTGACCAAACTTATCTGCCATTTTCAGAGCTGCAAGAGATTCCCAGTACGCAGTGACTAGGTACGCACCCGGCACCACTGACCACCCCAGACCGGCCACTCTAAATGCTTCATAATTAATGATAATACCATAAGACCTTATCTTTACTCTTTAGAAACCCACTACGCACTAGAATATGTTGAAAATTGAAACATCAGAAGGCTAAAAACTGTATTTGATACTTGTACAGACTACAGGCCTACAGTACAGGGTTCACCATTTCAACTTTTGAGAAAAATTTATTAAACTGATTTATCACTTGATCATATAATAAAATGGAATTTTCTCAGACTACTTGGAAGTGGCAAGGTGTATATTACCTACTCTTAAGTTGCGGCCACAATACTAGCAGCAAATGCACTAAATTTGCCATAGCCTGGCCCACTGTGACTGTGCAGTCGCTGTGCAGAGAGTGGATGAATATTGCAAGATCTTTGGCGACGCTTCAGTAGCCAAATTTTTGCCTTCAGAAGATCTTGCCGACACATTTAGATTGAAATTCTTGCATTTAATATATTTCTCAGTCTTCAGCCAACTATTTAGAAAAAAAGTAAGGAATGTTTCAATTCAAGTTTAATTTAGCTAGTAAGAAAATGGCATCATTTATAAGAAAAAAAGTGGTCTAAGTTACCCCATTTTACGGTACATGTTCAGTTGACACTTGCTGTACAATCGGACTGTTTATCACTGTGGAATTCTAGAGGGATAATAAATTAACTAGTACACATAGCATATTGGAAAGCAGGACCTGAAAGCTTGGAAAGGCCAGGAACTTTACACTTTCAGCCCATTATTTACATATCCTATCCCTTTACAGAATTCCAGCTGTGATTGGTTGATAGGATTGTGATTTTAGCCCCTTTCAGCTTCAATAGCATAATTTATGCCTTCAGAAGATGTTGCTGACACATTTAGATTGAAATTCTTTCATTTAATACATTTGTCAATCTTTGGCCAACTATTTAAAAAAAGTAAGGTTTCCGGTATGTTGGATTGATCAGTATGCAGTGAAGCTTGTCTGGAAATCAGTTGCGATGAGTTCCCATCAAAAAAATGTAAACATCAAGTTTATGATTACGTAGTTGCAGTCACCAGGTCACCTTAGAGTGATCAGGCTGCATTATCACATGTTCAGTTGACACTTGCTGCACAATCAGACTGTTTTTAGGGTAAAATTAGTTATTTGGGGTAACACGTGCATGCAACCTTGTACCTAAATAAGTTTGTGGCTTGTAAATAGTTTTTCATTACTCAGCGTAAATGGCTTTTCATTAAAATTTACCTGGCGACGCATCTTAAAATTACCCGGCAATGCTTAGGGCTTAAAAACCTATATATTGGCCACACTCAGGAAGATGTATATAAACGGGGAAATTTCTCGCGTAAATCAATCTAATTAAATTTTTTTCGCGCAGATGTTCATGCAAATCACGGTCATCGATTCCGCGCCGCGCAGCACTCGGCTCGGGCCACGGAGCCGTCCAACACAGTTCTGATTTAGACACAGTTTTCATCTGAATGGAATGGCAACATTGTCTGTAGATGATTTCAAGTAACGCTGAACCAGCATTGCCAGATGGTATATTTCTATACCAGATTTCACAAATCTGGTATTTTCAAAAGGTGTCTGGTATCATGGTATGAATATTTTAGATCTGGTATATATAGTCAAATGGGGTAAGACAGGATCGCAGCCTTCATGGGGTAAGAAAGGACCAGCCCATATCATGCATTCTAATTGCACTGAATTTAATTTGATAGAAGAATATGTAAGTGCAGTTGTTGCCTGTCATTTCAGTGCTTGTTTCAACCCTCTTCTGCAAATAATAAATTTCTGGCTAATTTTTAAAGAAAACTTATGTAAAGAAGGGTCACAAAATAGTTAACCCTGTTTGGGAAATAAGCTCTGTCTAATGACAAAAATTTTTTTGGCCAA